AGCTCAATACGTTTTCTTCCAGACAGTTTTCCCCATTTAATCAATATAAACTAAATTACCCAAACTCCAATACCGAAAGCAACTTTCTTTTCTAACTGCCACTGACAGCTCCCAATAATCGAGTCCAGCAGACCAGCTAATTTATGGCTAAACCATGCACGACATACAATTGTAAATCAATCAGTAAATGGACAAGTTCGACACCAGCGGACAGGTTGTTCGACTGGCAAATGAAGTGGTGCCCCTCATTTCATCACTCGTCATGCATATAGAAAAAAGGACACGAGGTTCTTGTATTTCGCTTTCGCTTCAATTGACACTGAAGAAAAACAAAAGGAATGAAATAAAATTGTCTAGGTTTTTTAAAAGTATTTTTAGCTAGAAAAATTATACGTTTTTAGAGCTGTATAATATCTATATAATTTTATAATATTTAAATATATCATATTTATTAGTCTTTTTCTCTGAACTTGCGTCTTAAATTCCAGCAGGCAAGCGAAAACAAACAACATTGCGTCCTTGGCAGTTGACATTTGGAAAGGCAGCAACGTCGAGGGCATTGATAAAGTGCAGTGCCAAGCGGAGGTCGGAAAAATCATTTTAATTGTTCCAACTTGGTCAGAAGCTTGGTTGGAGCAAAAGGTAGAGCCAGCGCCCACTCGATCCTTCACCAGCAGCATTGTGGACACAAGGAAACGAGTAAATTGCAAAAGGCATCAAAGGGAGAAGGGCATGGCGAGTGGGTGGGTTTCGGGGCGTAGACGACCGAGCCATGAAATTGATTCGGCCAACAACGTGCCAGGATCATGTGCGGCGATGCCTCCAACTGTCCTTGTGTGTGGCCGTATGCACGTGCATAAGTGCGAATAAATTGGCAACAGAGAGAACAAAAGAGGGGGCATTTTACAGCACTACAAAAGAGGGAGAAAATGGGGGAAAAAAAACAATGCTGGGAAATTGCATAACGAGTTGAGTGACTGGGACAGAGTCCACGCCAGGATAGGTAGCCCAACGCCGCACGAATGTGGCCAATGCCACCAACCTCATACCCTCATCCATAGACCAACCAACTGACCATCATGGTGTGTGCAATGCGTCGGGGGAAAGTGGAAAAACGGGCCACCAAGCGTTGGGCACATTAATTTTTATTAGCGCAGCTTGCCCTAATGGCCAATGCGATTAGAAGAAGGGAGCGCAAGCCCCAGGTCGACTTTGTTAGAAAGGCGGCAGCTCCAGGCATAAATCAGAAGGCAGTTCAGTCCTCTCGAGCTCCAGCTTATACTCTCACAAAGAAAAAAGTCTAATGAAAATTACACAGATTTCAAGGTAAAGAATTTGATTGCCTCTATGCCTGAAGATACGTTTTTTAAAGAATGTCTGATCGTGAGAGGGTTTTTGAATATTTTCATTAAAGAATTTCAGCAGAAAACTTACATTATACATTTTTATAAATAAATATTTCAGTATTTCCATGACAAAAAAATCACAATACACAATACAAAATAACACTTTTCAAATTTGTAACGAAAACTCAGAAGGCAAAAGCAGAAAAACATTTTTTAATTATTTAATCTTTATTTTCTATGTTTTTTTCTGACAACATTGGGTTAATAAAGACCAAAGGATAAACATAAAGATTTTGTTTAAAGGCCGAAATGTCTTTTATATTTGAGGGGTCATCATCTGTGCCTAGGAACTTAATATTTATTTTATTAGAGACTACTTCAGAAAGACTGTGATGACCCACATCCAACATGCCCGACAAGGATGATGCCTGGCTGTCACCAACTCGATTACCTCTTCCCACAACCTGCACTGAAAGTTTCCGAAAGTTATTCTTTTCGTAGTCGCGGAGGAAGTCCAGGAGATGCTCCTTTGACAAGCTGTTAATCATTTGTATTTGCATTTCCACTCGATTAAAGAAATACTCCCCGGTTACTATTTCAGTCCAATTTCGGTCAACCTCTTCGGACAGGCTGCGGTCTCGAAGCCGTTTATTAGCCACAAGTGATTCTCGAACTGCCGTAAACTCATCATTACTTAGTTTAGAAACAAGTTCCGACATTCCAGCTCGGAATTGTTCGATGCGCTTGTCCACGAAATCAGCTGTATGCTTGTTCTCCTCGGTATACATGATAATCACAAATGACGTGATCCCGTAGCCTATCCATGAAAAAATTCCCAAACCATAAGCCAATTGCTCCTGAGTCCTCAGCTGGTTAAAGAACGGCTCCCTGGTTATCATCTGAACCAGCTGCATCAGACAATCCAGTTTCGTATCACAAGGACCCACCTGGTAGTAGTTGCTAACGATCGTATTGGTGTCGTTCTCGTTGAGGGCGCGGGCGCGCAGAAAATGTGACCCCAAAGGCACTTGCAGTAAGCTATTGTCCAAGGAAGACAGACTCTCAATCTTTTTACTCTTGAACATGGAAATAACTTTCCCCATTAATTTTTTGGCCTGGTCAGCTGTGAAGTTTCCCTGTATAAGGGCTTGCACATACATTTTCTTGGGAAAATTCTTCATAAATTGCTTCAAATTGTCTACGGTAATTCCATCAATAGCCTCGTACTTCTCTATCAGGCTAAAGTGCTTATTTTCCAAGATGCTGAACCACAAGTCTTGGTTCAATGCGCTCCCGTCGATCAGAGTATTGAATATTTGACGCTTTTTAAGCTCTTTAAAGGACTCTAGTTGGGCCGGATCCAAATTGATAGTTCGCATCACTTTAAGTATAATTTCCACCAAAAGCGGGAGCTTTTGATTGCAACCACCGACGCGCAGTGAAAAACCCTTATCTTCGCTGTTAAAGCTATATGATAGGCCGGCTAACACGGCTGGATATAATTGTTCAGCTATGGAAAATCCCACTGAATGGGTAAAGATCACACCGAGCATATAATTTTCCACACTTTGCTGGACTAGAGGCGTGATAAAGTAAAGATTAATATACCCCTCGGGGTTTTGAAAGATGTTGTCTTGCCGGAACCACAGCTCCCCTAAATCATTTTTCATTAAAGACTCGGGACTTCGGGAAATATGCGGCTGTCCGGCTTCTATCCAGTGCAGCGTAAAGTCCGTTGTTATAAAGGGATTGGGCTTGGGTAACGCTAGTTTCTTAAGTACCGGCGGCTTTTGCCACAGAGTCTCCCACTTTGATGGCATAGGAATGGTCGTGTACTGGGTCCCAAACCATTGCTCTTCCTGATCGTACTCGTGGTTCTCATATGGAATACGTGATAAAATCATTATATTAAAATTAAATGCGTTCATATGCTGTTTAAAAAGCTGGAAATCCGATTCATTGTACTGAAAGAATACACTAGTTCCCCTGAGGACATCTTTCGAAGGCAGGTTTCTGAAGTCTGCGACAATAATTTCAACATTATCTCTGGAGCGGAGTTGACTTGAGGAATTATTCTGGGAACTTTGTTGGAGTTCTTCGTAAAGAGCCGGGATCTTTGAGCTATTAATAAGCAGCTTGATCCAGGCAAAAGTTGCGCCCAGCACCTCGTCTATGTGCTCAAAACCAACGTCTGTCAGATGTATGGATATGGTGAAGAGAGAGAAGATGGAGTTGGTCCGCACTCGCACGTCGAAACCCGTGCACCAAAGGCGTAGGCGTAGATAGGAGCACAAGCTGCCTACTCCCTCGTAGCGAATGAAATGTGCAAAGAAACTGTCCGGTTTGCTACGATAAAATTTCTTCATTGACGGCAAAACCCATGTGAGTTCAATCTTACAGACATCCGCAATGGGCTGGACGAGGAGCACATTTTTAAAAAACTTCTCCTGAAAGGCGGCTTGGTAGCCATACATGGACAAGTCAAGAGTGTTCTCTTGACATCTGCTAATATCTCCACAGTGGCGTAGAAGCAGCTGTTCTAGTTTGTCTAATGGCTGCTCCGATTGAATCGCAACTATCATGCGGTTAGAGCCGTAATGCTTCCGGAAGAACGTATGCAGCTCCTTGTGCAATGTGGCATCATCCACTTCCGTAAGAGACTTCAAGTTACCCCAGCCGAAGTTGCAATGCGGATACTCCTCACTGGACAAGCTTGTAAAGACATAGTATCTACGGACATCGTCGTTCATGTGGACCAGTTCGAACTCCGACTGCACGGACAACCGTTCGCGTTCCATGGCATTGGAACGCAATAATGGGGCCTTTAATGTGTTCATTAAAAAGTCCATACACTTATCGAGATGAGCCTCATCCACTTCGAAATAAAAACACGTACACTCGTCCTCAGAATAAGCATTCCAGGAGCCCCCGCACTTGGATACGAGTGTGTTAAAGCCGTACTCAGCTGGATACTTTTCAGATCCCATCAAGATCATGTGCTCGAGGAAATGTGCCAGTCCCTGGCACGTCCTTGGTTCACTATAGGCTCCCGCAGTCACAAGCACGGCGCAGGCCGCTGGTTTACTCTGAAGCGGCTCCAATGAAGAGTTCAAACTAGCATCACTGCCTTTCTGCTGGAGCTCCTCAGTCTTGGGATCTGATATCAACATGGCACGGAGTCCATTTGTTAGACTCAAAGCACGATACAGTTTCTCATCGCCCTCCGATTTATCAGGTGGATCATAATATTGCTCCACCGTACTCATGGCATTCTGGCGAAATAACCATTTTTGCAATTGTTTGGTAATTAATCCCAGTCTGGCGAACGGCTTCAGGCACATTCTTTATGTGATTTTAGGGAAATCATAGGTATTAATACAAATAAAATACTAAACTATTTCTTACATTTCTCACTGCCACGAGGGATACCTCAATATCCTGGGATATAATTCATTAATAAAAAATTCTTAAATAACGAAATATTGGTATCAATTTTGATAAACTGGTAACAAATTAATATTTTTCAAGATGTGTACATAACATTAAAAGCAAATGTGCACATTATAGATTTTTATAAATAAATATTTAACTTTTGCCATGACAAACACGTCAAATTTGAAAATAAAACTCAGACGACAACAAGTAAAACAGATGTTAATTATTTAATTTTTATTTCCTATGTTTTTTCTGACAACATTGGGTTAGTAAAGATCAAAGGATAAACATAAAGATTTTGTTTAAAGGCCGAAATGTCTTTTATATTTGAGGGGTCATCATCTGTGCCTAAGAACTTAATATTTATTTTTCCAGAGATTACTTCAGAAAGACTGTGATGACCCACATCCAACATGCCCGACAAGGATGATGCCTGGCTGTCACCAACTCGATTACCTCTTCCCACAACCTGCACTGAAAGTTTCCGAAAGTTATTCTTTTCGTAGTCGCGGAGGAAGTCCAGGAGATGCTCCTTTGACAAGCTGTTAATCATTTGTATTTGCATTTCCACTCGATTAAAGAAATACTCTCTGGTTACTATTTCAATCCAATTTCGGCCAACCTCTTCGTCCAGGCTGTGGTCTCGAAGCCGTTTATTACCCACAAGTGATTCTCGAACTGCCGCAAACTCATCGTTACTTAGTTTAGAAACAAGTTCCGACATTCCAGCTCGGAATTGTTCGATGCGCTTTTCCACGAAATCAGCTGTATGCTTGTTCTCCTGGGTATTAATGGTGATCACAAATGCCATGATCCCGTAGCCTAGCCATGGAAAAATTCCTAAACTATAACCCAATTGTTCCTGTGTCCTCAGCTGGTTAAAGAACGGCTCCCCGGTTATCATCATAACCAGACCCATCAGACAATCCAGTTTCGTATCACAAGGACCCACCTGGTAGTAGTTGCTAACGATCGTATTGGTGTCGTTCTCGTTGAGGGCGCGGGCGCGCAGAAAATGTGACCCCAAAGGGACTTGCAGTAAGCTATTGTCCAAGGAAGACAGACTCTCAATCTTTTCACTTTTGTACATGGAAATAACACTCTCCATTAATTCTTTGGCCTGGTCAGCTGTGAAGTTTCCCTGTATAAGGCCTTGCACATACATTTTCTTGGGAAAATTATCCATAAATTGCTTCAAATTGTCTACGGTAATTCCATCAATAGCCTCGTACTTCTGTATCAGGCTAAAGTGCTTATTTTCCAAGATGCTGTAGAACAAGTCATGGTTCAATGCGTTCCCGTTGATAAGAGTATTGAATATTTGACGCTTTTTAAGCTCTTTAAAGGACTCAACTTGGGCCGGATCCAAATTGATAGTTTGCATCACTTTAAGTATAATTTCCACCAATAGCGGGAGCTTTTGATTGAACCCACTGACGCGCAGAATCAAACCCTTTTCGCCGCTGTAAAGGCCATATGTTAGGCCGGCTTCCAAGGCTGGATATAATTGTTCAGCTATTGAAAATTCCACTAAATAGGTAAAGAGCACACCGAGCATATAATTTTCCACACTTTGCTGGACTAGAGGCGTGATAAAGTAAAGATTAATATACCCCTCGGGCAGCTGAAAGATGTTGTCTTGCCGGAACCACAGCTCCCCTAAATCATTTTTCATTAAAGATTTGGGACTTCGCGAAATATGCGGCTGTCCGGCTTGCTTCCAGTGCAGCGTAAAGTCCGTTGTTATAAAGGGATTGGGCTTGGGTAACGCTAGTTCCTTAAGTACCGGCGGCTTTTGCCACAGAGTCTCCCACTTTGATGGCATAGGAATGGTCGTGTACTGGGTCCCAAACCATTGCTCTTCTTGATCGTACTCGTGGTTCTCATATGGAATGTGTGATGAAATCATTATATTAAAATTAAATGCGGTCATATGCTGTTTGACAATCTGCAAATCCGCTTCATTGTACTGAAAGTATAGGCTAGATCCCGTGAGGACATCTTTTGATGGCAGGTAACTGAAGTCTTCGACAATATTTTGAACATTGTCTATGGAGGGGAGTTCAACTGGGAATCGAAAACTATTCTTGGCAATTTGCTGGAGCTCTTCGTAGTGAGCCGGGAGCTCTGAGCTATTATTCAGCAGCTTGATCCAGGCAAAAGTTGCGCCTAGCACCTCGTCTATGTGCTCAAAACCATCGTCTGTCAGATATATGGATATGGTGAAGAGAGAGTAGATGGAGTTGGTCCCTCCGCCCACTCCCGCGCTGACGCTCATGCACCAAAGGCGTCGGCGTAGGTAGGAGCACAAGCTGCCCACTCCCTCGTAGCCAATGAGCTGTTCAAGAAAAGTGTCCGGTTTGCTGCGATAAAACTTCTTCATTGGCGGCAAAACCCAGGTGAGTTCAAGCTTACAGACATCTTCAACGGGCTGCACGAGGAGTACATTTGTAAAGAACTTCTCCTGAAAGGCGGCTTGGTAGCCATACATGGACAAGTCAAGAGTGTTCTCTTGACATCTGCTAATATCTCCACAGTGGCGTAGGAGCAGCTCTTCTAGTTTGTCTAATGGCTGCTCCGATTGAATCGACACTATCATGCGGTTAGAGCCGTAATGCTTCCGGAAGAACGTATGCAGCTCCTTGTGCAATGTGGCATCATCCACTTCCTTAAGAGACTTCAAGTTACCCCAGCCAAAGGTGCCATGCGGAAAATCCTCACTGGCCAAGCTGCCAAAGACCTGCTCCTTACGGGCTCCGTCGTTCATGTGGACCTGTTCGAACTCCGACTGCAGGGCCGACCGTTCGCGCTCCATGGCATTGAGACGCATCAATGGGGCCTTTATCAAGTTCATAAAAAGGTCCATACACTTATCGAGATGGGCCTCCTCCACTTCGAAATAAAAACACGTACACTCGTTCTCAGTATGAGCGTTGCTGGAGCCCCCGCACTTGGATACGAATGCGTCAAAGGCGTTCTCAGCTGGATACTTTTCAGATCCCATGAAGATCATGTGCTCGAGGAAATGTGCCAGGCCCTGGCACTGCCTTGGTTCACTAAAGGATCCCACGGTCACAAGCACGGCGCAGGCCGCTTGTTTACCCTGAAGCTGCTCCAATGAAGAGTTCAAACTAGCATCACTGCCTTTCTGGTTAAGCTCCTCAGTCTTGGGATCTGATATCAACATGGCCCGGAGTCCATTTGTTAGACTCAAAGCACGATACAGTTTCTTATCGCCCTCCGATTTATCAGGTGGATCATAGTATTGCTCCACCGTACTCATGGCAGCATTCTGACGAAATAACCATTTTTGCAATTGTTTGGTAATTAATCCCAGTCTGGCGAACGGCTTCAGGCACATTCTTTATGTGATTTTAGGGAAATCAAAAGAATTAATACAAATAAAATATTAAACTATTTCTTACATTTCTCACTGCCACGAGGGATACCTCAAAATCCTGGGACATTTTTCATTAAAAAAAGACTCTTAAATAACGAAATATTCGTATCAATTTTGACTAACTGGGAACAAATTAATATTTTTCAAGATGTGTACATAACATTGAAAGCAAATGTGTATTAGGTATTTATAGTTATCAACCTTTACCTTATACAAACACAGCAATGAAAGTTAATAAAGAAATTCATAGTAAGATCAAACGAATTTCCTTGTGTTTAAAGATTTAAAAATCTTTCGTTGAACATTTAATGTACAACCCGGACAACAGACGGTTATTACGCTGTTTTTAATTAGTCCACCCAACTTTCGCCTGAAACTTGGCAGCAGGACGAGCCAACGAATTTAATTAAAAAGTGTAATTTGTATAAACAAAAAAGGAATTTTTTTTTTCGTTCTGAATTAAACCAACTTTACAATGCTCTGTTGAACTAATGTTAGGAGTTGTAAAGGGAAGAACGCCCTTTTGTTTGGCATAATTGACTGAGATTGATTTTACCAGCAGCAGGCTGTGCTCTCAAATTAGCCAAATTAGTCGTAAAACGTGGCGACTTTGACTCTGGAAACCAAAGAAACCAATGTCGCCCACATCTCCTCTGCCCAGTCACGTCGACATAGAAAACTCAGGCCACCGGACCGCACTCTAGACCACGGAGTACCCATGCCCGTCCCGTCATCCCCCAGATGGGAGCTTTTCACGTGGCGCAAATTAAAACAATGAAAATTTAATGAGCCAAGTTTCCCTCTCATACAAGAAGTTTTCCTCCTTTGACCAGGAACAGAGGCTGGTCAGGTCCGGGTCCTGAAATGGACAGGAGGCACGAAGCAAAAGTTGAATCCTTGTGTAAGCCTCAACAAGCATTATATAAACTTTGCGATAAATACTATTGGAAAATGTTGCAACTGTGCGAGAAGCTAATAGAGAATGTTTCTCTGATGGCTCAATTAAAACATCAACCGAAGGATGCAATTGGAATTTCGAGGGAACTTTTATTTAATACTTTGCTTAATTGAAAATTGAGTACTTTACACGACACTTAAAACCATGCACAAGCTTGACGATTAAATTCTGCCTGGATAAGCCTTTTAAAGATATATTTTGTACTTGTTTTATTAAACAGGGAAAATTAGAACACAGTTTTATTCATTCTAAATTAATAATACTTACTATTTTTTAGTAATATTCCTTCTTATTATTTCAGCAATTAAAAAGGTATCTATTAAATGACTCCTACCCTCCATGAGAAAAATAAATCGTAATCGATTCTTGAAACCTAATTATCTTTGTGCTTCTCGTTGCGCACATTTAACTTCTCCTTCCCGGGATTTTAGCTCATCCAATGTCCTCAGACGCTGGACGGCAGCCGCCATTCAAGTCAAGTGCTGCCCAAGGCGGCTATCACCATTTTTGCTAGACAATTTGGCAACAGAAACAATAAAAATATAATTGCCACACTCAAGCTAAAGATAGGAGCGCGGCTCCTTCCTTTTTGGGGCTCCAAGATAGCGGAAAAATAAAATACTAGGGGGGAAGCGTACAAGAATAAAATCACATCTAGAGGAAAAGGAGGAAAGGGGATTGCGGAGCTCTAGAGGTGGAAATGGAAACGAAGGTGGAGATCGAAAGTAAGAGGGGCTGATAGCTTGATTGGATTTTGCAGGCTACTCGTGACTGCGAGTGGGTTCTGTCCCTAACTTTGAGTAAATGCTATTCATTGGAAAGGGGAATTCCAATAAGATTGCAAAGAGTATGAGAAAATAAAAATCATAATCTGATTTAAGAGATTCTTAGTTGTTTTGAATATATGTTAATAGATTTGGATTTCATAAAGAAAAACCTATACCTATAACTATCGGCATTCATTTAAATGTATATATTTTAAAATGCAAAGGAATATAAAAACCCCAATAAAGGAATAACTAAAATCTGATTTAATTGATTGTCAACCCCTTTGGTTTTCAGTGAATTTAAAAATCGGCTTTGGGTGGACAAAAACTACCATTTTTGTCGGGTTTATGCGCTTCGATTTGTTGGCTGTCGTGTGCAGCATTGATGACGACAGACAGGAGCCCATGTCCTGTGAGTCGCGTCCTTGGGCTGACCATTGAAATGAAATGCCACAATGGCCGGCACATGCAAACACACACACACACACACACACATACAATGGCCACATACACCACGAGGGAAAAAAGCGTTTAGCTTTTGTAAATAACTCCTGAAATTTATCGATTTTTGTCTGTTTGTTTTGGCCGGGCTCTCAGCTCAGGAACCGAGCAACCGCCAGTGGGACAGGCTCCTTTCCTTTACCAATGTATACATTTATATTTGTGTCGAGGGTTCCCTAAAAAATTAAACTTTTTATATGACTTTGGTGAATTAATGGCCTGCCTGGGATCCTCACCCCCTCACTCTCCCTTTTCAAGGCGAAAAAAAGAACACGCCAGGACAAAAACGTGTGAAAATTCAATTTACGCGCAGAGGAATGCAGCGACAAAGTATAAATCGAAATCAAAATACGGCAGAATAAAAAAACGAAATTAAATAAAGAACTCACTCACGCGCACACACAACGCGACACTTTGGACCAACCGCAGGACACGACGCGCGTTAGAAAATCGCCCGAAAAAGGCGAAGATTAAATTAATTTTTCACAGTAATATTTTTTTTAACCAACTAACCGTATGGCCACGCGGGCGATAGGGCTTCGGGCAGTAGCTGCCAGGCGCCAGGCGCCCACAACAATGCGTTGACAGCGCGCAAGGATAACTGAGAGCACACTGAGCGTATGAGCAATGCGGCAATGGCAGCGGCAGCGGCAAAGCCAAAGTCCTTCGCTGACTAGCTCACTGTCGGACTGAGTGCGTGAATGAATGAATAAGACACGAAAAAATCCAGCCAGAACGCAAAGGTTAAGTTGATCGACCGAATGGATACTTATTTTTTGAAGGAAAGGCCATCTAGGGTGGTACAAATCACTAGGGTGTCTAAAACAGATCCTTGAATATGGGTATATTTTGAAAGTTATATATTCACAATATACAAATTACTTTATTGCAAAAAACAATAAATTATACTAATAAAATAATTATTAAGAAATACAATTTTATCCGAAATTTTTTTGTTTTCGTGTCTTTCTTCGCTTTGAATTATATTTAAAATTATCATATCCTTTTCACTAAGGGGTACCACTACAAACACACACCCAAAAGCACCCATAAAGCAAGCAGAGTAAATTATGACTGTGTGGGTGAGTGAGTGGTGTATAAAACAACATTTAGTTTACAATGTTTTCAACGGGTGAGCCCTCTCGCTGTGTGTGTGAGTGGGTGTGCTCGAGTTTGAGCCTGGCTGCTGGTGTTGGTGTGTGCTTAAGTGCGTTTACTTTTGGCCCTTTGCATGACACCAGTGCCAGGCACTCACACACAGCAGGCTTGGCAGTAGCAACTTATCCACTCAGGATATAGAATGAGGAAGCACTGACTCCCCCCACACACATCCTTTATACACACTCGCATTCGCACTCGCATCCACATCCGCAGGACTCGCATCCTGCAGAGAGATAGGATACAACCAAGTGAATGCGCTGGAAAAAACCGGACAGTTCGGGAAGCCCGGACGGAATTGAAAACACGGACGAGGTCACGGTTCGCGGTCTGATTCAGTTGGGTGCGATAAGCTGATTTGAATGGAGGAGCTCAGGAGCTTTCCTGGGATTTACATTCGGTTGCAGTGAGTCATCGAAAATGTATTTTAATTTAATTACAATTTAAAGGGAATCAGCGAACCACAGGCAATGGGCATTATATATAAGGTCTTTTGTCAGGAAATGTGCTGGCACTGCTCTTTATTTTTATTAATAGCCGAATGCTAATTGCCCTTGGACTATTATGAGGTTCAAGTGAGGTTCAAGTGAACACTTCTTGATATAAATACATAAATTTTAAATTAAAAAACCTCCTCAGAAAGGCAATATGTTGACAACCCATAAGCGTTACTAAATGTTTAACATCAACCACTAATCAACCGTATTCTCAACACAAAACACCTATCGAATTACGAAAGCAAAACAGAATGTAATGAGCTTTTAGCGAGTAAACCACAAACGCTTGTCAATCATTTCGCTACCATTTCCACTCTTATTTCCATACGCATTACCACACAAATCCACTCCATCAATCTGGGGGCGCCTCATCATCTCTCTCTCTCTCCGCCGGCGCTTCTCTTATTGAGGCAATCAATATGCCCGAACGACTCTTAGACTCTTACCGAGTAGAAAAAAAAAGCGGTACACAAGGATAAGACAAAGGATATATGTGTGCCAGTGTGCACATAAAAACATGAGATATACTTGAAGCTACTTTCCGGCTAACGAGCATCTCACAGTCAACGTCTTTATTGTTGCCCAAGTTGCGATTTCTTGCCCTTACTTACTTTGGGTTTGAGTTCCTTTTGGGTAGGATTCTGGCCCGAATGGATACTTGTCTGAAAAACTCCACTACTTGGGCTGTAAAACCAAAGGGCAACTTTAAGCTAGCAGCCAGGGAGATGATATTCAACCATCTAGACTCTTTACATTTTTAGTTTATTATCCTTTGTACTTTTACTTCTATAAGAAGCGAAAAGTCGACATAATTAAATAGCTTAATGAGAAAAAGGATTTAAAATAAAAGGATTCTTAAAGTATAAATGAATTCTTATTAAAGACATTTTAAGCTAAAAGTGAAACTAATAAACTTTTCTGCAATACTTAGTTTTTATAATATAAATAATTATAAGTCAGACTAACAGTAAGCATTTTATTATGAATGTTTACTGTAAAATATTATAAGAATATATTATGAAATTCATTGTTAATCTAAATCTGAAAACATATCAAAAGATACTGTCACTGAAAACTATTAAATTTCTTTCGATTCGATTCGTTATTGTGATCGTAAATAGTTAGCTTTATTGTGGCAAGTAATAATTTAACTTTTATACCGACTCATCAATTGGGTATATCTAATTTTCATATGTATTTAGCAGACGGCCCCCTATAAAGTAAGGGAGCCTGGTCCAAAAATTCCGAACTCCAATCGCTAGCGATCGGCGGACGGGGGTAATATCATTGGTGTCAGCAGCAATGTCCTCACTATACGTTCATTGAACATTTCTGCTCC